AAAGACCTCTTTGAGGTAAAATTTTCGAGTGACGAAAGCTGAACTAGAAACACAAATTTATGATATCAATTTCGTAACGAAAATTATACGCATTTTTTAACTGCCTTGGAAACGTACGGAAAATATTTTTTTATTTATGCGGAACGTTGCGAAAATCCGTCTACTGCTAGAAACACAAAATAAATAAAAAACTTTGCAACGATGCGTATGAATAAAAAAGATTTCCCCTACGTTTCCAAGGCAGTTAAAAAATGCGTATAATTTTCGTCACGAAATTGATAACATAAATTTTGTGTTTCTAGTTCAGCTTTCGTCACTCGAAAATTTTACCTCAAAGAGGTGTTTTATTTGATATATCATACGAGTCTTAAACGCCAACAAGATATAAGCGACATTTTTTTTTTAAGTTTAACCTTTGATGCAGAAATGCGTCTAGATGCTTTAGGAACATTTCTGCATCAAATGAAAAGTGTCGCTTACATCTTTTTGGCGGATAGGGCTCGATATGTGAAAAATACGTGCCTGACGGAAAATCCAACTCACGCACGTTCACACCAGCCAAAGTTTCAGTCACGCACGATCACGGACGTTCGTGATTTTTCTCTCAAAACCACTCACGCTCTCGCGTGAATAAGCATGACACGACGTGTCGCGTAAAAAAGCATGTGTTTTCCCCATCTGTATTCGCTACACCCTACACATTTGGATATGCAATTCCAGCTAAATATCAGAAAAATGTACATTGCAATGCTTATGAATAGCCCATAGTTTTTGCAAGCCCACCTGGTCTATCACATCTATCTATATACATATAAAATACGCGAAGACATTTTTGTGCGGCGTAAAAGATCTGCACCGTTCGTTCGATTTTCAAAAATGGTTTGTCAAATTGGCCTGTAGATGTGCAACTGGTTTTGTTTTTTCGAAAGGAGTTGCCACCTGTTAAATAACTAAACTCAAGTTATTTACTAATCAATGCCCTCAGATCCGCACCGTCCGTTCGATTTTCAAAAGTGAGGTACCAAATTAAAGGGCTTAGGGTGTGGATGTTTAAGAAGGATTTACTTTTTAAAAAAAAGTTGCCATCTGTTAAGAAATTGAGCTCGAATTAATTAAAAAGTTAAATCATTTATTAAATATGGTTATCAATCGAAATGGTTTTGAAACGACTTTATAACTCAACTACGTATAGGAGGGTTGCCACATGTTTAAAAAATTCTATTCAATTTTTATTAAAGGCATTTGGTAAGTGAATAAGTACCGCTATATGGGAGTCATGCAAAAGAGGGCTAAGAAGGTAGTAGTTTGAAAATATTTTGAATAGAGTTGCCACCTATTTGAGAATTCTAATTGAACTATTTTTAATATGAAATATTAACGATGGATGTTAAATGAAAGAGCTCCAAGAAATACTTAGTTTGACAATTTTTAAAAATTGTTGATGTTTTTGATGGTTGCCTCAGTTTAGGCTGAACTAAAATTATTTAATTAGTTAAATGAATTACTAACCGATGATTATCAATAGAAATGGGGTTAAAACCCTTTATTTAAGAACTATAAAAATAAATTTGCACTTAATTCATCAGTTACTTGAAATATTTATAACAATGTCAAACGAAAAATATTTAAGGAAATTTTAGTTCGAAAATAATTTTTAAGAAGGTTGCCGCCTGTTTTGAAAGTGGTATTTCGTTTAATTATATATAAGTTACATGAAATTTTAAAGTATGGTTATCAAAAGAACGAGTGTTAAAAAATCTTTAAGTTGAACATTGGTTGTTTGTTTTGTTGAAAAAATTAAGCTCAAATTATTTAATAAGTTAAATGAATTGTCAAAAGATGGATATCAATCGAATTATTCCGATTTATGTCTATACTGTATTTAGGAGAGTTTCCATGTGCTTAAAAAAATTAAATTCAACTTAATTCATCAGTTAATTAAAATATGTATAACAATGCCAGGCAAAAGATTTGTTTAAAAAGTCGAATTTGTTTTACTTATACGAAAGATACATAAATTAAATATCGAAATATTAGTGTCAAACGAAAGAGTTTTAAGGCAACAATAGACTGATAATATTTTTAATTGGAGTTGCCATCTATTTTTTTTTTGATCTCTGCACCGTAATTTCGAGTTCCCAAAATAAGAAGTCAAAATAAAGAACTGGGATTCTACATAGATGTGCACAGGTTTTATTTTTTGAAGTTACAGGGAGATTTGAAATTTGATGAAATGAAAACCGACACCATGCGAGACCTCTCATCACTGAGAAATGGTTTAGATTAATCATTAGGAATATTTTTGGAGGTTTTTGAATAGGCCTTCACCAGTTTAAAAAATTTAATTACACGTTGGCGTTTTGACGCCTTGCGGGTTCACTGGTTAGTCTATATATATAATACGCCAAGGGATTTTTTGTGCAGCTTAAAATATCTGTACCGTTCGTTCGACTTTCAAAAATGGGGTGTCAAATTAAAGCGCATGGCCGGTAGATGTGCAACAAGGTTTTACTTATCGAAAAGAGTTGGCACCTGATAAGAAATTGCATTCAAATAATTTAATAATCAATGCCATCAGATCCACACCGTTCGTTCGATTTTCAAAAGTGAGTGAAAAACAAAACTGACTTCAAGTCTCATATAAAACTTTAGAAGTACTGTTTATTTCTTCATGATCCAATGATCGGATCTACCCCAATTTAGTATGGAACCTCCCCTGACGCACCACAGTGTGCGTATGTAACGTATACGCCCCGTAGCACCATACGTAGTCATCTAATACGTTTACTCGCACGCCCCAAATTAAAAGTCATACTATTTAAAAGTAATTGAATATCAGCATGGGACATTTTTACTCAGTATTCCTTATGCACAAATCCATACATATATTATCTACTTCATGTATGTATATAACAGTTTTAGAATGATTTTCGAGTGTGCCAATAAAATTGTAAAATGGAATTTTAGTTTCTCAAATCATAGTCAGCTTTTAGTCAATGTAATTTTTATTTCATTCGGTGACACACAAGTGTTCAACTCGTGATCTTTGCTCATGCCTATCTACAAAGAAACTTTTCTTAATTTGACTTTTCGATTTTTTATATTTCATTGACCAATTTTCAAGTCTAACATGGTGGGCACAATTGACGCCAAATATTTTAGGCCAATTTTATTTTTCTCACGGGTTATTTTTTGACAGCAGCTAAAGAACTTATTGGACAAAAAAAAAAACAAAGTGGTCAGTTTGTAAAATTTCAATTCTTGTTTTGTTTTATTTTTTTAATAAATTAAATTTTTTACAAATTTCTCATATACCTAGGGTTAGAATTCAAAAAGCATTATTTGCGCTAAACATTCAATTTTACTTTCATAAAAAAAAATACTGTACCTTTGGTTATCTTAAAGATTTTTACCAAAAAAATTAACCAAGTTTAGAAAAATATAACACAAATGAACCGAAAAGCAAAAAATAAAATTTTCAAACTTAAGATTCCAAGCAAGTATTATCAAGTTATTATTTTTTTTTTTTTGCTTTAAATTAACTATTTAAGCTGGTAGCAGCGCTCGTAAAATACCTCAAAAATATTCTAAATGTTCAGTTTAAGGTTTTCGTAAAATTTTTTCGTTTGGTACCCTTATTTTAAACTTCATACGATTCCAAAAAACTAGCGTTGTATTCGCTTCCAAAGACGCGGTTTTGAATAGTTAAACTGTCGCTATAGTATCGTATCGCACCGATCAATTTAATTATCAAACTCGAAAAATTTCCGACACTTATTTGAAAAGCAACCCTTTAACCTTGACCCTTACATTACTGAGCTAATCAAATCGATTAACACAATAGAGCACGACGTTATTTTTGTTTGATCATGTTTGTTTTTTTGCCAAAATATGACACCACTTGAAAAATGTGCATAAATAAAATTATTGGAGTACTTATTCAAAACAATTGCAGCTTTGATCGAATTAACATCGCCGCACATGTACAAACACAAAAAAATCTTCAACAACAATTACAATGCAAACATAATCGCTGCTGCCCTACATTCGTTTGACAAGCCAGTGCTTATCTAAATGTACACGTATGTATGTAGGTATGTATGTGTAACCATGTATAAACGGAAAACAATGGACTCCAACTCGAATAATGAAACAAACGAAAAAAACACACACACACAAAAGTCTAAACGAAAATGATAACACAATGAGCTACTAGAAGTAAAACAAAGAACTTAAATGCATTTTACTTCTGTACATACCATACACCTTGGAACATATGTAGGTATGTATGCGCTTGTATGTCTGTGAAGTATCCTTACTTTTACAATAAAAACGCTGCAAAAAATGACAAGTGACAGTGTTAATAGGAAACAACTTTCACCAGTGAAATAAGTGAAAATATGTGAGGAGTAAATGTGTGAGAAACTAACAGTAAAAGCGCTAAACCAACACCGAACCGATTCATCAACAATTCTACGTTCTCCCTTAGCACGCAGAAAACACTCAAATACTCACATAGCATGCACACAGGTGCATATATGTTTGTATGTACATGGGTAAACACCTACACACATACATTCAAGCGTAAATATTACTGGAGCAGCTGTCGGAATGCTGAACAGCCTGGCTGGCTGGTTGGCGGTGTGTGTGTGTGTGTGAGTGTGTGTTGGCTGGTTGACGTGCAAGTCATGGCATTCATTAAAATGAAACAACAGCAAAATGAGTGCAGTCACTACATACAATAAAAATGTAAACACACGGACCTGTAACTACGCACACCCGCACTGTATGTACATATGGACTTCTTAATGTATGGGTGCATGTTTTGGTAAGTGCGAGTGTATTTTCTGAGAGTTCCTTCAACAAATGCTCTTCGAGCGCCACATGCAATGGCATACGATTCCTCTTTACATGACGGCGAATTCGCAAATCAGCAACTGGACCAAAACTCAGGCCACAGCCAGCCAGATTTGAAGCTGCGGTCAAACAATATCAAAACTTCGGAGCCTTCGGTTGTGTAGCGGTGTTGTTAGGCTTCTAGGCGAAAGCTGAGCTGCCACAGATACCCAAGCAAAATATATATATAAGTGTCTATATGTAAATGTTGTGTGTAGATAAGTAGACGCTGGGCAGTGAAAAAAGTGAAGTGAAAAATAAAATGACCATCTGGATGGTAGAAAAGTAGAATTCAAAAATATATTCATGAATAGTAAAATTATAAAATTGCAAGTTGATGAATTTGCTCTTTCCGGGACATGCATTGGCAGTGTGCTTGAAAAAAGTGCGCCTAGTAGAAAATGCAAATGATGGCTTGGTCTTGGAAGTGTAAACAATAAAGTGAACTGCATAATAACAATTATAACAATGGTCTAAAGCTTCCCTTTCGTGTGCTTATAAAGAATTTCTGCATTTAATTGAAAAATGCAAATTAAGGTGTGGTGATTTATGCAACTTCTACGCCGATTCTCTCATTCCAAAGCAGCTAAATCGCAGCGCAAAGAGGTTGCGAAAGTAGTACCGAAAGAGAATAGAAATACTGTATAAATAAATAAACTAAACAGCGCTTAGTGAAAAGGAGGCAAGTGTTATATGCATAAATAGTGATCATATTGAACAGAGTTTTACAAAGTGAAATCTTCTGTTAAGATATTTTGGTAAAGATATTGTAGAAGCAAGAAAGAGCAAGCGCGCTCTCCATTGAACTACAAACACGTTCAGTTTGAGACCTGAAGTTTCGTTGAGTTTTTGACATTTTACTTGGCCAGTGTTTTGACATTTGCTGACAAATAGTTTGGTGCAAAGTTGAAGGCGAATTCACGCTTTTAATCAGCGACATGTGAGTGTGAAATAAAAAAAAGCATAAAAATCAAATGTTTATATGAACGAGTGTAAAATAGAAATTTTACTAAGGAAATTGCATTAATAACAAAGTGGCAAAGTGACCTAATAAATAACCTGATAACCAAACATAGTCCAACATTAATTTGAAATATTTCGCTCTGCGACGCATTGTTGTATCGATCCACAACATTGTAATCATCATTATCGCCAGCAACATTAACGCGACTTTAACGTCAGAAGCAGCCACCATCGCCGCCTGCCGCCTGCCGCCTGCCTAGTGTCGCACGCCAAGCCACACCGTTAACGTCGCTGCCAACAGCAGCAGCAATCGGCACTAAAGCAACAGTATTTATGTGTTGATGTGTGTGCGTGTGTGTGTGTGATGGGATGCTGATTGCCAGTGCCGAAGCAGCATTTTATCTATGTGTCTGTAACTGTGCTGGTGTGTTTGTGTGAGTAAAAGTGGTGGAAGCATTCGCTGAATTTGCTTTACCGTTCGTCTCAACGCTCAACGTGCGCATTTGTCGTTCAGCAGTCGTGCGTAGCAGCAGTGGGAGTTGAGAGCCAAGTGAAAATAATTCCAAAAATATTGCATACTTTTCAGAGTTATTGTACAGAAAGTGAGTAGGTGAAAAGTTTTGTAGCTAATAAAATTATTAAAAAATGGCAATTTAAAAAGTGCGAAAGTTGGTTAATACAAAGTGCAAGAAAAGTATATGCTGCAAAATATGTGCGAGAAGTGAATTATAACCAAAATAACATAAATTGTAACAGAACACCCCAAAAAAAAGGCTCGGCAAACTTTCGAAAACTTTTTAAAACTATTTTCATGGGATCCGTAGCAGCGGACAACTGCATTGTTGTTTGATATTGTGCTAAAAAGTAGGATTCTTCTAATTTTCCACATTTTCCGGAGCCTTGAACTCATCCAATAAAGCATTGCCTGTGTGAATTCGTGTGCTAAGGTTGAAGGGGAAAATTTAATTTTTACGCAGCAAAATTCGCATATAATATGTAGCAAAATAATCGAAAGACGTGCAAAAAGTGTAAAAATATATACATATTATACAAAGCCAGTCGTTACAAGTTTTCGCATTCGTCGTCGTTTATTCGTGTAACAGCACAACAGCCTGTTTGAACTTACGTACATACATATGTGTATATGTGTGTGTATGTATGTATGTGTCTGCCCAAATGTGAATGTAGCTGTGCGTTTGACTTTTCTCGTTACTAAAGTCTTTTCGTGGCAAACGACCAAGGCAGCGGTTTAGAAAGTGGGAATTGTGAAAAACCAGCTGTAAAAGATTGCGAAAAGTGAAAATATTTCTACGAATTTTTTTGAGCTTCACTTCGAAAATTACACAAAATATGCACGTACATTCACGCACGTATTTACGAAAGCATACGATTTTATCATTGTACACGCTTTTTAAAGGAGAGTCGAGAAGTTTAAGCAAATTTAAAAACTTAAAACCAGTACGACTGTAAGGGAAACAGAGCACAAAAAATAATAGTCGAATTAAAGCAGTCATAAACTAACTATAAAACTATTCTCCTTACAAACAACAATTAAGCACATACTTACATATATTAAAACACAAAACGACATTACAAAGCATTGAAAACACCCAAAACTTCTGCAGTTGTCGCAGTCGAGAGGGAAAATTAGCACAGCAGCAGCGGCACTAACAAATCTTACAATCATAGGTACTTAACGAAACTGCGACTAGAAACGACAAAAACAAAAACGATATAATAAACACAGACTGGCAGCCAGCAGCCAGCAGCCTAACAAGTCAAAGAGAGCGCAAAATTAAGCAGCTGAAACAAGAGAATAAGTATTAGAAGAGTACCTGCAGCCTCCTTGGTTTGAAAAAGTGAACGAAGAAGCTTCGCCGTGAAGCATCCAAGTGGCGCAGTCGCAGTCAAAACGCCTGCATGTTTGAGTGTACGCGAATGTCAAAGTAAACAAACTTTGACAGCTGAGTAGGACAAAGTGAAAACACAACCCATCACAGTCATCTGTAATTAAAGAGTGACATCTGATTGAGCAAATCGAAAATTTTAGCTCGCTTTAAAACTTAAAAGTAAAGTAGACAACAACTGTAGTGTAGCGAAAGTGAAAAGTTACTTATTGGCGTCGAACCGAATCAAAATAAAGCTTAATTAAATTGTGACCTATTTCGCGAAGTTTCTGTACATATCATTTCTTAAACACAGCAGGTGTTGCCAGCAAACTCGAGTTGAACAGATGCATCAATTGGCATTTGCGCTTGTATGCGTAATTTGAGTGTCTAAACTGAACGTCTAACAGAACACTTTCACATCGATCTGGTGAAGCTTTTTTTTCTGGGAAATTTAAGATTTGAAGAAGAGTTCTCTGTAAGAAACAAAAAAAAAACATTCAATAAACTAAGAACATGGGCGCCAAAGAGAGTGTTGAAGCTGCCGCGAAAATGAATGCGGACGGTTGGGGTCACGTAGAGGTATGTAATGGTGTAAATAGTGTAAAGAAAAATATCATGTGTGTTCTTAAATTAAGATTTCAGGTTGGTCACCTGAGACTCATATGAAAAAAGTGCTTAACTAAGTATCACTTAGGTAATATGTAATATCTAGAATCTCGGCAAACTTTTGAGTCTAATATATAATTTTTCTGTTAACTTGTGGCTAGATTGGTGATGAGACCAGTAACCCACCTGGTGACACTGCTAGCATTCGGAAATTTTTAAAGTTCGATAGGTGACAGCCCAAGATTTTTTGCGCATACTTTTGACATAGAACACGTTGACGTCTTACGTTTCGGTATGGAGGCTATGCTCAAATGTTGTAGTTGTAATTATTAGAGCTTCACGAAAACGCTTGATAAAATTCTAAGCCTATTGACAGATTCCTTTTCTTAAGTAACCCATTCGGTTTCCATCGTAGAAACAACCGTAAATATTCTTTCATTCATTCTTTAATCTTTATTTAAAATTAGTACAATAAGACTTACTCTTTTGAAGTACAACAACAATATATGTAACTAAACAGACCTATACAAGCGAGACAAAATTTGAAATTTGAATATTAGAACTCAGCAAATAAAATGTACAAACTAGATAAATACTTAAATATTTGGGTTGTTCATCTACTAGAAGATAAATAGTTATGGAGGGAAGTTTTAAAGTTGCTTTTGTTGAATTTAATTTTGACGGCATGAGGAACACCATTCCAAATACGAATAGCGTTTATGAATAACTTCTGGCAGAATTTATAAAGTTGTATGAAAGCAGAATTAAGTCAGAAAAACGTTCCGACTTTGGAAAAAGAAGTTTGTCATACAGATAACGCGGGGTTCGCGTATGTATAAGTTTATAGAAAAAAATGCAGTTCGTGGCTTTTATGTAGTCTGAGATATCACATCCCAGCAAAGAACACCTCCAAGCGGATATATAATTAGCAAATTTTTTCATTACCACAATGCTCGAAAACCGTTAGAATGATTTTGTTTTCTGTTTTCTTTAATCAAAAACTCGAGTTTTTTCCTTTCGTTTTGTATCTGTAGTTTTGGTTTAACCTTCCACAATCTAATGCAGTCCAAGTGCCACGAAACTCAAAAGCTCAACGGATTAATTCATGCCTTAATCATTGCCCTGAAATGCAAGCATTTCAGTTCCAAAGGCAGTGTGGTCCCGGCACCCGGCTGCAATGCAACTCCACATGGAACCCATGCGAGTTTTACATGCATTTAGGTATTAAACCACAGCCCCCGCGATACTCCCAAAAAGGGACGTATCTCAGTGAACAGACTGGTGTAGTGCTCGCCTGCCAGACTTGCTTGACCAGCTCGAGTCACGCAACCTACTAAACATGCCAGAATACACATGCTCAACCGCACAACTAAGAAGGCCTGCTTTTACCACATATTCACCAATCCACGGTTTACCACAAAGATTTACACCGTGTTTTCAACCATCTATCCACATTTTCCACAGTTCCAACAGTTTTCAACATTTTCATCCAGCTCGTCTCGCTCCTCTCATAAGACTTACTGATCTCGTTTCACCCCGGGGTCCCTAACCCGGAGTGAAAATCGACTTTCAACCCTTGTTCAGGTCGCTTGACTCACCTCATTCATTCTGATCGTCTCGCTACCCTCGCAGGTCCTACTAGCCTTACTGGGGAACAATTTCCAGCCCGGGTGGACAATGGGCATGGAATTGCTCCTTTTCAGGTTTTCTACACCTACTCGAGCAGCTTCGCGAGCCACATTCTTCCTTGCAGACCTTACTAGCTATGTGATTTTACATGTGCATCTGGCCTATCTTTTGGCCATGTTCGTCTCACTGGCTTGGCTTATCTAGCCAACAAACACACTCCAGTTCGCCCGCGGTTCCTTTTCCAATTTTAAAGCACCAAACACTTCGTCATGTTTGAATGTATCCCGATAAAAACGCTAGATTTCCTAAGAGGATATTGACCACCCCTCACTGTGACCAAGCGTAGTACATGCAGGAGCTTTGCCACGTGTTTAAAAAAAAATAGAAAATTGAAATATGGTTTCCAAACAAAAAGGTTATATATCAATCAAAATTGTTTTTAAGAGATTTTATTTCTAAACTACATGCTAAACTATTTTAAAATTTAAATTCAACTTGAATTAAGTATTCTACGTTTAAGATTAGGGGCAGCGGCTTCGATACACTTATTTTGTGCTTGCTGATCAAAGGCTTGTTATGGCCGCTTAAACTTTGAATGCTAATAAAACAAATCTCGGCATGCTGAGCCATAATTTTATTTAGAAAAATGTAATTAATACTATGTCTCCTCTTTGATAAGTTCATAAATATACTTAGGTTTTTATGTTGAAAAAATTCGTTGATATAAATTTATTTTGGAATGCCTTAGTGGCTTATAAGGGAAGGACGTAAATTACATCAGTAAGTCCGTGAAAACTAATTTCGGATTTCACGATCTGATTTTTAAAAATATATACATACCCAGCTGATCATATGTTCCGATACGAGCGGTATTCAGATTCAGCACCATCATATGTGATTGCAATTTTTCACTGAAATTGGAGCGAATCTTTTCCTTTACTTATCTAGCGTTTTCATGCTGAAAAACTGGATGGCGCAACTAGAGCCACTATTTTATGCATGCAAAGCAAAGCGAATTTCCAAATGGATATGTCACAATTCGTCCAAAAACTAGTGGCACAAAAAGAAAGAATTAACAAAGCAAAAGTTTGGAAAAAGTAATCCGGAACAACAGCGCATATAATGTATGTAAGTACATAGTACTGCTTACATAGATATCTGTGGTATTTTACTTAAACAACTTATCTCTAGAGAGGTTATTTTCCCTTTAAAGCAATATTTCATTGGGCTCCCGGGCAATATTTTATGGATGAGCTAGGCATAAGTGTAGATGAAGACGCCCGTTTAATGGAAGCTTAATAAAAATGTAAGCTTTTTCAAGGGAAACTTGTTATATTTTAATTCAAAGTCAAATCTTCTAAAGTCACTTAGATTGTTTTAGTAAAATGCCACAGATATGTACATACGTCTATCGAAATTTAGATACATATGTATATGGAAGAGAACAACAACCAGCTTTTGAGTTCTTGTGACTCTTGCAGCTATGCAATAACGAATTAGAGACTAAGCACACAGTTATATAGGCATAGATGTCTACTAAACCTGACAAAAAAAATGCTACTTGGCAAAAGGACATGCAGAGTATACTTGCATATACATAGTACATTGTCAACCGTGTTGAGTAAAAGTAACAAAGATAAATTGCCGGAGACTCAGGCATGAATCTGCGGATGTCAGAACTAATAACACTTTGGTGTACTGCGAAATGCAATGTCGACCTGAGTTGAAAGAACTGTAAAGGAAATAGCGTCTGTTTCACCCAACAAGACAGCAAGGCAAGAGAAAAACTGCAAACGCATAACCATTTATAAGAATAATAAAGAAGTCAGCCGGAAAAAAGAATTAAAGTTGGCATACTAACAATATTGCAAAAAAAAAATTAAACAACGGAACTCGCGTATGCGTTTGAATTTCAACTCATATCAAAGGCTTAAAGGAAAGAGTGCAAAAATCGTACTTATGCAAAATTGATAAAGCTACTGGATGCGCGATGAAATATTTAGTTTTATTAGTTAATCTTTCGTAAGGTCGCGATTTTTTGTAAAGGTAGATCACTTTAACTAGATTGCTATAATCCATTCTAACGGATCGCGTACTTTGTTAGAGGTAAAGGAGCCTTAACATAAGGCGACTTTTTGACAGGCGATAATCGCCTGCAAACGTTGACTTGCTGTCTAATTGGAGGGAAGCAAATTTTGTATCATGTAAATTCAGCTTAATACGTCGTTTCCACGATTCGTAATTCGCACTCCCATTCGTCATTCGCCTTGCTAATTACCTTCCGAATTACGTAATTCGCCATACAAAATTTTGAGAGGGAATTATCTCATTTGTACGTAATTCAGATCGAATTACCATGCGAATGATGAATGACTCTGTGCCTTCTCTAATATTTATCGGAAATATATCGGAGTTTTCACCGGCCTGGTCCTATTTGCTGGCACTTTTTCTAGTTATAGGATATAATATTAATAAAATATTCTCTACATAAATTAAAATTGTTTGTTGATAACTTAAATTTTAGCTCCATCTTCGATATTTGCAGTACACATAAATAATAATAAATGGAGAAAATGAAGAACAAGAACTAGAGCTGCCAATGTATGTCGTGGAAACAGGGTAATTCACGAATTACTTAGAGAGCGAATTACGAATCGTGGAAACATCGTATAAGGCTAGTGAGCTTATTTTACTCATGTTTATCACGCATGATATCCTAACTGATGTTGGTTGAGCTAGAAGTCGGACAAACGACTATCCAATTGACCGCCAATTTGAAATAATACAGTTTCGAAGCGCATCATTTTCCAGCTTAGAAAAATTTTAAAAGTACGCTGAAAGAGCAGTGAACGAGGTCTTTGAAGTAGTGAAATACATTGTCTAACTAAGATCCAGCATACAGTAAAACCCGCTCAAGTACCCCACGAAAAATGTCAGCTTTTTGAGGTACTAACAACCCGCCGTTGGGTACTTAAAAGTACCCGCTTAAGTATCTCGATGCGGGTAATTAAGCGAACATAATTATTGATGTAGTTACATTTTCTTGTTCACTTACATACATAAAAAAATCCTTAAATAAAACATAAAAATTGAACATTCCATAACAAATACCATATAAACGTAATCCTATGTCTCCATTGAGAGATTTATCAATCAAGATTTAATAAACCCAGTTGCTAAACCATAAGCGTCTCCATTGCCACAATGAGATATCGCAAACCGTCTTCAAAAGAGTCACAACTCGAAATAATACGTTCGTTAGAAAATGCGAAAAACTATTTCTTAGCACATGGGCGGCTTTACCGTAGGTCTGTTAAACAAATTCTAACAAAAATTTGCTCCGG